AATGCGGTTGGCTTGGAGCTGAATGATTTTTGTTAATAAAATTTTATATTTTGAACAGAAATTGTGGTGAATTTATTCCATGTATGTGCAGAAATAACTGTTTGACCATGATTAGTGCTCGAATCACTCTTTCATCTATTGTTCTAACACACAGTTAGTAGGACTGTGTGTCATAAACACTATATAACAGCTGAAATAATATCTGATTAAATAAGATATTTTACCACCCCTACAGGAGAGGACAATAAACATCTTAAAGTATCAGAAACATAAATTCCCAGCAGGCTGGGAATAGAATTTAACTATAGAATCACAACACATTCGTTTCACCTAAAATAAGAAAACAGCATAAATATGTTGCCTAGAAGTTAGAAGCAGGCAATCCAAAAAGTATGAATTAAAATCATATTAAAAATCTGTATTTTAAAACTGGAGCTCCTCTGAGTAACTCCCCTATAATCACATTTAATCTCAAATTCGGAAGAAAATTCAGAACAATAATCATAGTCAGAATGACTTCATTAGTTGTTTTCATTAAGACACCTGAGCTGCTTTGATGAGCTCCGATAGCTCAGTGTGAAAAACAGCCGATCCCAGGCTGTTCTCCACATCCAGTCTATTTTTCTGCCTGATTTTGGTTAGTTCAAACAGAAAAGAAAAAAAATTTGTTGATAAAAAAAAGTGTTTAATTTTTCTATTGGGTCCTGAATGAATGAAAACAGGTTCCAATTTTATTTTATGACCTAAGAAATTAAATATTTTCATGAACCCTTTCCAATGCACTGGCGGAGCACTAGGGGTACACGTTCCCCCAGTTGGGAATCTGTGTGCTATGGTGCAAACACTCAGTCATTGTTTGATGTGGGATCCCTTTATGCATCAAAAAAATAAAAAATAAAATAAAATAAAGAAAGAATCCCCTGAAAAAATTTTCCAGAAACACTTCAGTAGAAGCTGCCAGTTTTGTAAACAAACAACTAGGCCATGTCATCCCCAACTTTAGCTACTTTTTGTTGCTGCTGCTCTCATTTTTTCCCCCTCAGTTATTCATTCATATCTGTTCATGTATTTTTTTCCATCATATCCTCCATCTAATCGTTGTATCCATATTATTATTTTTGGTGGTTATATTAGTTAGGTTAAACTTAACCTTAACCTAGCTTAAAAAATTGATAAACAGCATGTGTAGTGCTGATAAAATTTGTATCAGTGTAGCAAGAAATGCTGCTGTTCTCTTTAAACATATTGTGCCCTGATGCTCACATTAAGCATAAACAAAAGCATGCATATTTTTGCATAGGACCAATGACATCAGACCAATGAAACTGAAGACCAATGGTGTCCCTACCAAAGTTGAAATCAAACCTACGCCCTTGGTATTGAATGTCATTTCCAAGTTTCAGAAGATGCACCCAGGAACTTGTTTCCTTTATCTTTGCTTCTTACTGCGCCTTTCACCGTCTGCAAAACTGGCATCTCTTTAGCAGCCAACCAAAAAGGCCAGAAGCTGTTGGGAATCATCTAATCAGCCACCATGATAGGACAAACCGCGCTCTCCAAACTGGGGATTTGTTCTTGAATTTGGTGAAATTAGAAAACCTTTCAGGGCCACCTGTATCTACATGACCAGCACAGCCTGCTGCTGGAAAAGATCTAGATTAAAGTTTAAAAAAATTCACCAGTTAAGATGTTTCCCACACCTGGTGCTGCATCCGGTGAGTTTTTACTGGGTTAATCAACAAAATCCTACTTTAACGACAAAAACGTAAATTTAATTTGATGAGTCTAAACAGAATATTTTATAATTATAATCTGAGAAAACGACAGTCTAGCAATCCTGTTTTAGTTTGTTTAAATGTAGATTTGAGTTAAACATAGGCTAATACAATTCTGCGTGGTTTGTAAGATTCTCTCAAGCTCCACTTTTGTTTTTGATCGCGTGTAATGTTAAAAGTTTATTGTTTATTTTACAAAACAATCATATTGAAAAATGT